CAAGCCAGCCGAGGGGCGCCACCCCCCCGGTCGACTCCCGCCCCCACGCACGCACCGGGCGGGGCACCCCGGGACGTGGGAAGACCGAGCGGGGATCTCCCGATGAGCCGCCCGCAGGCGACCCACGACCCCGCCCTAGCCCTGGCGGGGTACCAGCTGGGCCACCGCAGGGGGGACGTAACGTGGCGACGAGAGCGCAATTATCTCTCCCCATATGGCCCGCTACGGGCAAACAGAGGTGACAAACGGGCTGCTACCCGCCTGTTTTCCTGGGACGCACGAGGGCACCCAGTGGCACAGGTGCCAGCAGGAGGAGGAGGAGGAGGAGGAGGAGGAGGAGGAGAGGAGGAGGAGGAGGAGGAGAAGGTGGAGGAGAGGGGGTAGAGGAGGAGGAGGAGGAGGAGGAGGAGGAGGAGGAGGAGGAAGAGGAGGAGGAGGAGGAGGGGAGAGGAGGAGGAGGAGGAGAGGAGGAGGAGGAGGAGGAGGGGGGGAGGAGGAGGAGAAGAAGGGGGAGGGGAGGAGGAGGTGATGAGGAAAGAGGAGGAGGAGGATGAGCAGGAGGAGGAGGAGGGGGAGGGGGAGGAGGGTGATGATGATGTTGCTGATGATGATGCTGCTGATGATGAGGGAGAGGAGGAGAAGGAGTCGGAGGAGGTGGAGGAGAAGGAGGAGGAGGATAATACGTATAAGCAGTATAAGCAGGATGAGCAGGAGAAGGATGAAGAGGATGAGGAAAGAGGATGATGACGCTGATGATGACGAGGAGGAGGAGGAGGAGAAGGAATCAGAGGAAAAGGAGGAGGAGCAGCAGCAGGAGCAGGAGTTCCTGGGGCTTGGCAACCCTTCTCCAAACGGCTTTCAGGCATAATTCGAAGTAAGGCCACGAAGCTCGATGCAGGCACATGCCAATCGAGGCAAGTCCAGCACCTTCCAGACAACTTTGGAACATATCGTGGAAGATCCGGCGCGAGTCGAGGAACCGCGAACATAAGCCCTTAGCGAGAAGCAGAAGTGGAGGACGCTGGGCTGGGCTAGGACCCGGATAAATCGCTCCAGGGCTTCAGGAAAAACCTTCAGAGCGTTCTGGGGAGCTTTGGAGGCCGCGGCGTCTGGTGCAGCTCCTCCAGCACCGCCAGATCTCAGAGATCCACGACCTGTCCTGGTCAGATGTTGTCCCCGTCCTGGCTTCGTCTTACGAGGTGGCCCATGCCACGAAACACCCTGCTTGCCTCCAGGGTGCCCTGGGTTTCTTGGGTTTCTTGGGTTTCTATAGGGTCTTGCGACGGAAAGCGTGGCGCTCCCGCACCAAGAATCAGTGGACGCCCTGGGGTCTCGGGGTTAGGTTTCCTGTGGTCGTCTTTTTGTGGACTGGCCTCCACTACAGTGCCGTTTTTAGTACATGCTCCGCGTGCGGATCATGTATTAAACAAGGGATTTAGTATTCAAAACAATGATGAATTAATGCGTTGATTGATTAGTCAATGAATCACGTATTAAGATCGTATATTCTTAAAATCCTATGGATTAAAAAACTGCCCTGAGAGAGGTGGAGGACTGGCGCGGCCGCGTCGCCGGGCCAGCGGCTGCGCAGGTGGGCCTTCGTCACGTTCGCCGCGCCCGAGCAGGCCGCGCACGCGAAGGAGGCGACTGACCGCATCCTGTTCCTCCCCGGGGCCCAGAAGGCGTGCGAGGTCCTCCTCGCCCTGCCCCTTCCTCCCTCCCCCCTCCCTCCTCCTCGTCCGCCTCCCTCTCTCCTCCTCCCTCCCCCTCCTCCCTCTTCCTCCTCCCTCTTCCTCCTCCCTCTTCCTCCTCCTCCTCCTTTCTCCTCCTTTCTCCGCCTCTTTCTCCCTTCCGCCGCTTCCCCCTCCGTTCTCCTCCCGGAGGTCCCAGCAGTTTCAAGGGTTCGTGTGCTGGAAGTTCAGGGAATGTTTTTTTGGGGACGATTCAGGATTTTCGGATCGCCACAGTCACGTTGATTCGCGGCGTCGAAGTCCCATGAATGGTGCTACGGTGACTGCAGATTATCAGACGTTGTCTTCCAATTGGGAACTTCCGCATTGAGTGCAAATCCTTGTAGGGACCTATGAAGACGGGACTTCGAGAGAGGGTTGATTGCATCATCGTTGATTTGTCTTGTGTTTCAACCTGTCTTCTTTCTCGTCCTTATCCGCCTCCTCTCGTCGATGATTGTGGGTGGAGCTTTCTTGGAGATGCTCTTCCTCCTCCTCCTCCTTCCCCTCGCGCGTGCGGGCACGCGCGCGGTGCGGGAACAGGCGAAGGAGAAGAAGAACAAGTAGGATCAGCAGCAGCAGAAGAGAGAGGAGGGGAGGACACCCAAGACGCTTCAAGAAGGACCAGTTTTGGTTCAGGAGAGGTTGCGGTAGTCGGACAGATCCTTAGATCTAGGTCGCGGAAGCTGGTGGTGGCCGATTCTCGCCGTGATCAAAAAATCAGTCTCGTTCCTTCTCCAGCTCTCTACATGATAGCACGATGCCTGTAGGCGGAGGTGGACTTCATGATTCCAGTCGGAGAGGCGCCAGCCAGACTCCCGCCAGCGCTCAGTGACCACTGGAGCCACAGCGCGACCACCTCGGGCGCGCCTTGCAGGCTCCTGAACCGACAGTTCTTGACGCTTCGCGTGGCGTGCGTATCCCCACCGGCCCATCCACACACGATGCCCACGGGTCAGAAAGACAATTATCGGGTGTGGAGGATGGGGTTGGGAGAGATGACCAGGTCATCCGTATTATCGTGTATGTCGAGTGTGCTTATTACACAATCGTGACCCGTATCCTCCCAACCCCATCCTCCCAACCCGATTATTGTCTTTCTGGACGGGAGTTGTCAGGAGGAGGGACGCCGATAAGCAAGCAGCGAAGCCAAGATGCCCACAGTGTCGCGAGGGAGAGGAAGACCACACGAATGGCTCGCGCGCCGTCTTTCTTTCTAGCTGCCTTGTCCGTATGTCTCGCTCTTTGTGCAACAGCCTGGTGTTTCCTCTGCAGTGAGACACTGATGGGGTCGCCCGACCGTCGTCCTCGACAGTCCCGCGCTTGATTGAATTTCACCACTTTGACATTCAGAGCACTGGGCAGAAATCACGATGAGTCAGCACCTTTTGAGGCCATCGCAAGGCTTTGCTTTAATTGAATCGCTTCGCTCATTCCGCCGGCCCGTGATATGGCATCGCTGGTTTTTGTCTGTGTGTTCGTTGCCCATGTTGCGCTCTTGGGGGCGGGTGTCGTTCGGACGCGTTGCGTGGGGAGTTTTGATGGTGAAGCAGTTCCCTGGGGGTCGTCTCTCGATGGGGCGAAATAGAGTCGTCGTCAAGATGCTTCTTTGGGGGGCCTCTTGGGGTCTGTTGAGAGGCCGTTCGGGGGCGCCTGGGAGACATGTTTGAAGCCTTCTGGGGCTTCTTTTGGGCCTCCTGGGAGTCTCCTGGGGCCTCTTGGCGACATCTTGGGGCCTCTTGGAGGCCTCTTGGGGCCTCTTTGGGACCTCCTGGGCGCCTTCTGGGACGGAGGGCTCCATTTTTGAGTTCTCGGTATCCCTCCTGAGTCCCTCTTGGGCCCGTCTTGGGGCCTCTTGGTCCGTCTTGGGCGGCACTTGGGCCGTCTTGAGGGCTCTCTTGGGTCGTTTCGGCGCCGTCTTGGGAGCTTCGTGGGCCGTCTTGGAGCGGTCTTGGGGGCCTCTTGGGCCGTCTTGGAGCGTCCGGAAGCCGAAAAAGCCAGAACACAAAAAACATAGAAAAAACCAATGAAAATCAACGATTTTGGCCTCTTGGGGCTCTCTTCGGAGGCCTCTTGGAAGGCTCTTGGGGCGTCTTGGAGGCCTCTTGGGCTGTCTTGGGGGCCTTTTGGGCCGTCTTGGGGTCATCTTCGGCGTCTTCGAGCGCTCTTTGGGCGTCTCGGGGGCCTCTTGGGCAGTCTTGGGGGCCTCTTGGGGCACTCTGAGCGCGCTCTGGGGAGCCTGAGAGGCCGCACCCAGAAGGAAAACCATCTCTGAGTAGACTTGGTCGGGCGGCGGTCGGGCGGCGGTCGGGCGGCGACCGGGCGTTGGTCGGGGTACTTTTCGCCGGGGGACCCCCAGGGGCCGCCCCGCGCGCGCGAATTAGAAATACTGTTAATACTGTTAACCAGTTACCGGAGATCTTAGCACGCCCTGGCCCGTTGGGCCGGCGAATTCAACAGTCGGGTTCCCCTTGTCCGCTCCAGTTCTGGGTCGGTTGTCCAGTGTCCAGAGTACGTGACAGTTTGCTTTCAGAGCAATGTTGAACTCAGAGATCTCTGGTAGCCCTCCCGAAGCCCTTTTTGGGAGCCCTCGATGTGCTTCTGGGGCCTTCGAGGGGGCCTTTCTGGCCCTCTCTCGGGGTCATCTTGGGTGGCATGCGGCATTCGAGAGGGTCACCCGTCGGATGCCAACCGATCTTCTCTTGGGACCCTCTTGGGACGTTCTTGGGGTGTTTTCGGGCGCCCTTGTAGCCGTCTTGAGGCCTTGATGGGCCCGCCCTAAGAATCCCTTGAGCGATCTTGTAGACACCGTGAAGCTTCAGAAGCCCACTGGAAGCGCAAAGGCGAGACGGTCAAAATCATGAGCAACCATCGGTTTTTGAATGATGGTTGCCTCCCAGGGGTGATCTGGGGAGGCTCCGGGGCATTGTGTCGTCTTGTGGCGGTGTTGGGGCAGGCATGTTTGAAGACGCCATTTGGGGCTACCTGGGGCCCTCTTGGAACCATTTTGGGCCATTTTTGGATCTCCTTACCCCTCGCGAGTCCCGACGGGAAGGGGAGGAATTAACATCCTCTCGGATTGGGAGGAACGTGGTTGGACACACTACCTTTGTAAACGACATGCACCAAGAGGATTGGCGGGATTAGAACATGTAAGCCAGCGTGGGCCCAAACCAGCGCGTTTCTAGCCATTAATATTTTGCAATCTATGTGGGCAATCAATGTTGCGCAACCTATGTGGTGCAGTCTATCTTGTGCAATATATGCTGTACAAAGTTGAACAATCTATGTTGTGCAATTTTGGTGGAACCATTTATGTTGTTCAATCTACGCGGTGCAATCTATTTGGTGCAAGCCACCAATGCTCGCAGTGAATTGTCCACTCCACCGCTCGCGCAATGATCCCACCCGCCCGCCCGCAACTTGGTTTTGCAGAGCCCATGCGGCGGCGATTGCGATGACTACTTGGCGTTGGCTGGTGCATCTTTGCGGCCGCGCTAGCCCGCGTATGCTTGCGCGCGCAGCGGCCAGCTAGTGCGGCACGACCGACGCGGTCGCGGTGGCACTTCCCAGCGTGCACTTCAGTGCGAGACGGTGACTTGTGCGGGCGCGGTAGTATGATAACGCCGACAATTCTAGACGCGCTGATTGTGGTATCGATGGTGGTGACAATGATGACAACGACGACGGCAAGACCAGTGACGGCGCCGATATTGATCACGCCGGCGACGATGACGGCGCTTTCGCGTCGGTGAGGACACCTTTGGGGGGAGTTCGACATGCGCGCGCGGGCGACGCGCGAGACTGGCCCGCATGGTGTTATTAGACACGGATCGTGGCCCCCCCCCCAGTACGCGCGCAAGGGCATTCGAGTGATTTCGACGTGCGGCGCGGGGGGCCAGTTTGGCAGAGGTTCGAGAACATGTCAGAACAGCGTTCTTTGTTTATAACGAATTCGCAGGAGCCCGACTGCAGTTTTTGAATAAAGCAATAATCCGGACATACATATCTATATATGCAAGTATATTTATATGTATATACTTGTACACATGTGTATGTAAATCTACATACAGGTGTAGTTATACACTGCTGTTGCAACACCCTGAGTTTTTATATGTTGTCGCGGCGCTCGACTTTGAAATCCTTACGGCGCCGTTTGTTTGATGGATTCCGGCATGCGCCTGCGATGACGCTCGCGCGCACTTCGTCCGAATTGTCGCGAGGGGTTTCGCGGCAGCACGCGCGCAAAAGGCGTCCGAGCGATTCCGGTATGCGCGCGAGAGGCCCGTTTGGTAACAACTTGCGAAAGTGTTGGAAAACTTGTGGTTTGATTCAGAACTCGCAAGAGCCCAGGCGCATGCTGTTGTTGTACACTGTTGTTGCGAAGCCATGTGATTTTAGATGTTTTCGGGCCGTTCGATTTCGAAATCCTTACGAACCCTGGTTTTTGGATGGATTTCGGCACTCTCTCGCGACAACCCGCGCTTGCACTTCGCTTTTTCTTGCGAGGTTTTTTTTTTTTTTTTTGTGAACTTGTGGTTTTTGACAGACGAGTGCGCGCGAGGCGTATTCCGGTTTAGCTGGAATGCTATGAGTTCATTTATCGAATGGACGATGTGGCAGAATCGTGTTTACATTGCCATGCGAAAAAGGGGTCCGTTAAGTCCGGGGGGGGAAAGATTCGGATCTTTTTCTTTGGAAAGGAGAAATCGCACTTCCGAATTTGAAGTCGTCAATTCCATTGCTTGCGCAATCATCCCACCCGCTCGGCCGCAATTTGGTTTGCAAAACCCATGCGGCGGCGATTGCGATGACTGCTCGGCGCTGGCTGGCGCATCTTTGCGGCCGCGCCAGCGCGCGTGTTCGCGCGCAAGGCAGCCAGCTAGCTTGGCGCAGCCGACGCGGCCGTGGTGTCGCTCACCGCTGGGCACGTCCCAGCGGGCCCTTCAGTCCGAGTCGGCGGCTCGGGCGGGCGCGGTATCATGGCCACGTCGACAACGGTAGACGCGATGATGATAGTAGCGATGCTTGCGGCGAGGGTGACAACGACGACGGCGCGGCGAGTAACGGCACGATGTTGATCACGCCGACGACGATGACGGCGCCGTCGTGTCGGTGATGAAGGTTTTGGAGGGAGTTCGACATGCGCGCGCGGCGGACGCGCGAGAGTGGCCCGCGTGGTGTTATTTGACACGGATCGTGCCTCCCTTTCAGCATTTCGCGCAAGGGCGTTCGAAAGGCCCTTTTGGCGTGCGGCGTGCGGCGCGAGAGGCCTGTTTGGCTGAATCCTGATAAGATTATTGAAAGCACGCGTGGTGTTCTTCAGAATTCGCACGAGCGCGAGTGCAGTTTTTATATAAAAGCACGGATGCTGAAAACCCACTTATAATGATTAATCTGACTATTGCAGAACACTCGATTGTGCAATTCCGTATCCGTACGAAACTTTAGGTTTTTGAGAACTTCCGGCATGCGCGCGCCACGATGCGCGAGTGTGCACATGGTTTCCTTTTGTTGCAAGCGGGTTCTGGAGCACTGATGATTTTCGAGCAGAGATTGTGCGCGCGATTTTTTGGCAGAGAACGATGGGGGGGATTACCGGCGTGCCTGGGATGGTATGAGTGCATAGTTCGGGTGAACGATGTGGCAGAACCATATGCAGGTTGCAATGCGATAAGAGGGCACGTTAAGTCCAGGGGGAAGGGGTACATCATATCATTCTAGTAGAAAACAACATTCGTTTCGAAAAACTTGGAGTTGTCAGCTCCACTGCTCGCGCAATCGTCCACCCACCCACCCGCAACTGGGTGTGCAAAACCCATGCGGCGGCGATTGCACGCCGTTCTTACGCGCGGGCACTTCAACGCGAGTCGGCGGCTTTGCCTGGCGCGTTATGGTATCATGGCGACGTCGACCGCGGTTGACATGATGCTGATAGTAGCGATTCTGGTGGCGATGGCGATGCCGGCGGCAAGGCCAACGACGGCGCCGACGTTGATCACGCCGATGACGATGATGGAGTCCACGCGTCGGTGATGAAGGTTTTGGAAGGATTTCGACATGCGCGCGCGGCCGTCGCGCGAGAGACGCCCGCATGGCATCATCGCGAAGACCTTACGGCCGGGCCGGCGCCGCCGATCCTCAAGTGGGACGGCGACGACGGCGGCGGCGGCGGCGACGACGACGCTGACGTGGGCCAGAGGAATGCTCCTCGGGTCTCATCGGACATCTCTCGGGGGCCTCCCGGGAAGAAATAATTTGGGTCCTCTTGGGAGCCTCTTTTGGGGCCTCTTGGGGGCCTCTTGGGGCCTCTTTGGGGCCTCTTGGGGACCTCGTGTGAGTCTGGGGGGCCTCTTGGGGCCCCCTGGGAGCCTCTTGGGGCCGATGGCTCGAGATGTCCGTTCGTGTCCCTCGTCTGGGCGCGCTCGTGGAACCGTCTTGGGGGCTCGTTGGGCCGTCTTTGGGGCGTTGTGGGGTGTCTTGGGGTCCTCTTGGGCCCTCTTGGAGGCCACTTGGGCCATCTTGGGCCGGTCTTTGGGGCCCCTTGGTCGTCTTGGATCGGCGGGAAGCAGAAAAGGCGAGAACGCCAAAATCTTTGAAACACCAGCAAGTGGAAATCCATGAGTTTTACCTCGTGGGGCCCTTCTCCGGAGTGCTCTTGGAGGCTCCTTGTGGCGTCTTGGAGGCTTCCAGGGCAGTCTGAAGGGCGTGAAGGCGTTTTGGACCGACTGTTTGGCGACTGGGGGCCCTCTTGGACCGTCTCCGGGGCCTCTTCGGGCACTCTTGGCATGTCTTGGTACTTTCTGAGGCCGCGGGTCCACCAAGGGGGAATGCGCAAGTGACCCCCCTCCCCCTTTTTATCCCTTTCCCCTACCCCCCCCGTACCCCTCCCGGCGACGGAGACGACGATTGACGGAGACGACGACTCGAACAGACAAGCCTCTCACACACGCCAACAGGGTCGGCGGATTTGACAGGGATCGTCCCCCTCCCAGCACGCGCGCAAGGGCATTCGAATGATTTCGAGTTGCGCGCGGGAGAGGCCCGTCTGGTCGCAATTGATACACATGTTGAACAACCGATGGTTTTCTTACGAATTTGCAGGGGCGCGCGCGCAGGCATGTTTTTGAACAGTCACGTTGCAAAACCATGTTTTTCATATGGTTTCGGGACGCTCGATTTTGAAATCCGTGCGAGGCCTTCGGTTTTTGACGATTTTCGGAATGCGCGCGCGACGACGCGCGCGTATGCAGTTCGTCCAATTTGTTGCCTCGATGGTTGAAAATGGAAGATGTTATCTATGGGGCGTAGTCTAGCTGTGCAAACTTGAGCGGTGACGAGGCGGCGACGGGTCGGCGTCGGCGAGCACATAGCCGCCAGACCGCCAGCTAGGCCAAGACGACGGGTGGGACGAGGCGGTGACGGGGTGGCGACGGCGAGCATGGAGCCGCCAGACCGCAACCTAGGCCCAGACAATGTGTTTCTAGCAGCCGAGGTTGTGCAGTCTATGTTGGGCAATCTATATTTCGCAATATATATATATATATATATATATATATATATATATATTGTGCGGCCTAGGCTGTGCAATCTATTTTGTGCCATACGTGTGTATATGTATCTATATGTGTATGTGGTGCGATCCATGGGACACAGCATATGTGGTGCAACTGGTGGGGAGCAACCAATTTAGTCAAACATATGTGGTACAACCAATGTTGGGCAATCGATTGCGTGTACTGTATGGCTTGCACCATATGTAGTGCGACCCATGTTGTACAACTTACGTAAAGCAACCATCCTGGTGCAATCAATATTGTGCAACAGATGTTTGCACTCTACGTTGTGCAATGTATGTGGTGCAACATCGATAGTGCTGTATGTGTTGTGTAATTAATGTGTGTTTTGTCAGCTCCGCTGCTCGCGCAATCATCCCACCCGCCCGTGATGGTGATGAAGAGGATGGTTGGTAATGGTCATGGTAATGATAATGGTAATGGCAATGGTGGCGGTGGTGGTGGTGATGATGATGATGATGATGATGGCGATGATGATGGGGAGGATCTTGATGATGGGGAGGATCTAAATCCGATTACGATGAGGAGAAAGCCTCCCTCCCTCTTTCCTCCTCTCCTCCTCTCCTTTGACCGAGAAGCCAGCCCTTCAGTCAGCGGGCACGTCGCACCCAGTGGGGGCTTGCTTGGCTCGGGAACCAGCGGCGAGGGGAGGTCATGCTCGCGAAAAACCAGGGCATGTACGGGCAGGACACTTCTGGTGGGAAAGGCGCTGGCGACGATGCGCGCGCTCTCTGTTTTTTGTTCCTCCCTCTCTCTCTCTCTTTCAGGCGTTTTTCGGGCCACTAGTTTCCTCACCCCGTCCCTTCCTCTTCTTGGTCGTGGTCCTCCTCCTCCTCCTCCTCCTCCTCCTCCTCACTCCCCGTTGCCAGCTTGCCTCAAGGCTAAACGGGTGAAGGTAGAGGAACACACCGGATCCTGATTAGCTTTGGCTACCTCCGTGACCAAGCTCCGAGAGGATTTGGAACGCAGTGCTCCCCGCAATCTTCAAGATTCCCCGTCCTTCCGTTGTCTCTCTGCTGGCAGACCCACGCGATGCGGACTCGTGGCCGCTATATGTGTTGCCCCAAGACAGGGCGCAAGGGTTGGGAGTGTGCAGCGGCAGTCGTCTTCTCTCAATGCGGCACCCAGCTCAGCAGCAAGAAGTACGATCAGGGAGGAGGAGGAGGAGGAGGAGGAGGAGGAGGAGGAGGAGGAGGAGGAGGAGGAGGAGGAGTCTGTCCGTCCTTTTGCGTCCCACTGGCAGAAGGATGGTGCAGCTGGAGGTGCACCGCGTGTCAAGGTCGTGAACAGCATCGCCGCAGTCGACGCCGACGACATCTCTGCCGCAGTCCCTTCAGCTCACCAGGGGAAACGAGACCTTGTCGCTCTGGCCTAGGCCCAAGGCACGTTCTGGAAGAAGTGGGCCGGGGCTCGAGCCAGGGAGTACACAGACGCCTTCGAGACGCCCAAACAGGCGAAAATGACAGTTGGCAGCGCTCCGTGGAAAGAGCCTCGACCAGTAGACGCAATCTCTCCATGACTATTCGGTCCAAGGCCGAAGGTTTCGAGGCGGACGTCGACAGCATCGCCGAGACTACTGCCTTTGCCGCCGAGGAGTACACGTCGAATATCAAGGATCTCGCAGACGCCCAGGGGGAGCTTCAACAGCTCGAGACGCAGCGTGTGATAGTGGCCCGCAGACTTGCGCAGGAGGCTTCGGAGAACACGGACATCTACAATATGTTCTTCGCTGCGACGCAGGCGAACGTGCCGCCAGGAGGAGTGGTTCCGCCAACCTTTTTCGAGCCAAAGTATTGGACCTCGCCAACACCTTCGACCATCTGCAGAAGCAGCATGAATATTCGATGGCAGCAGAGGCGTCGACACCGTCGATGGTTCCAGCACCGCCAACGCCAGCACCGTCAGCGCCGCCGCCGCCCATGCAAGGCCTTGTGCTAGCGAGCTCCCCTACCCGCTACCAACATGGAGGTCGCCCGAGCTTCGCCCGCAGGCGAGATCGACTCGGCTGAGGAGGACGAGGCCGCGGCGTTCGTGGGCTTCGGCAGCGGACGCAAGGACACCATGGACAGATTTGACAACATCCAGGTCATTTCTGTCAATGGTAGCTGCTGGAACACGTTCGGGTATTTCCTCACCTCCGGCAGTGCTGATGATGCGCCGGTGATCGGCGCTCAAGAACACATATATTCATCGACGGGGAAATCATTGCGAAGAAGGCGCAGTGGTGTTTGAGGCGCGGCTGGCTAGCCCACGTATCTCCAGTTACTTTCAACGGCAACGGGGAGCCAGTCAGCGGAGTGGCCATCCTCGTCAAAGACCAGCTCGATTTCGGGACCGAGCCCATGTCTTTCCCAGACTCAGTCGACAGGGGCCGCCGCAGAGGTATCCGCTTGGAGGCGCCAGGGCCCCCAAAGCTTGGTCGATTTTGCACGTGTGCCAAGTCTTCCGAAGGGTTCGGAGCCACCGATCTGGGTCCGCCAGTCGACATCGCAGTGCAGCGGGATCAGATCCGTTTGCCGACAATCGCCGCGTGGGGGCGATCAACCTGGTCTCTTTTCCAAGATCGAGAACTTTTACTCTCTCCGCTGGGCCCCCTCGAGCTGGTCGCCCTTCAAGCCCCCGCATTCTGGGGGGGGCTCAAAACATCCTGGACTATTTCTCGGTCAGCGAATCTCTCGGGATAGTGTTCGGAGGCCGTCTTGGCCTGGAACCATGGCCCGTCTCGTCTCCTCGCGGGCCCGTCTGTCTAGACACCGGTGGTGCAGACAGTGTCATGATCTCAGCGCGAAGGAAGCTGCGGAGGCTACCTCCTGCAGCGCAGTTTGGACCGCAGCAGCGGCCGCGAGCCTCAACTCAACGTGAGCGAGCTCTGCAGCATGCCGACTCCTTGCTTGCGGATGCAAAACCGCCTCTCGGCATGTAGCAGCAGTCGATCCTCCCTTATTATTTACTGGCATCGCGTAAGGTCTCGAGCAATCGACTAGCGTCGCCGCAGTCGCCCTTCTTCGACGCAGCCCGGCCCTCAGATCCAGCCCCCAGAAGTTGCGCGGCATCGCGCCAAACGTAGCTGGGGCTGGGTGGAAATCCCAGGATGCCCCGCCCGAGTGGCTTCGAGGCAGGCTCGTCCACATTGCCTGCGCCACTTGCAAGCAGGGCCGTTCTCAGCAGGTGGCTACTCGGCAGGCCCCGCCAGGCGATTTCCAGTGCGTCGCCAGTTTCAAGGGCGGGCTCGCCGCAGCCCGACAGCTGGGGCAGTTTTCTTTAGCCGATCAAGTCACGGCGTCTTATCCGAAAGCGCGGCTGACCAGGCCATCGACTCGATCGTCTAGGACCTTGGCCGCGCCATCGCGATGCTATTATCCAGAAGCTGCCGGATCCAGGCACCCTGGGTCCAGACTCCGTTCCTGGGGGGCGCCGGCAGGGCCCGCGGGCGGACAGGGTGCTTTGATTCTTGGAAACCTGCCACCACCAACGTCAAGGGGCAATGTTCGGACAGGCCGGGTGGCATCTTACTCAGGGAGGCGGAAAGACCGCCGTTCTCCTTCAACCCATGTTTGCTCCAGCCGATGCGGATGACAGAGTGGCCCCTGGATCCGTGACAGAAGTAATTTGCCAGCGGCTCCCAGAAGCTGCCCCCTCAGGGCCACCTCGATGTTCGATGGGATCCAATCGGGACAGTTCATGCTAATCACAGAGCATCAGGCTGATATGATCGCTAAGCGGTTGCTGATAATCGAAGAGATAGGGCATTCGCCCTCGCAGATGCGAACTATCGTACTTCCATGCTAGAGCACGCGCAGGAGGTTCTACTAAGCCTGCAATGCGACCGATCGGAATGATGTCAGGTGCGCACAGAGCAGCGGCTCGTTCAGGACAGTCAGCTGTTCGAGAATGGCAACGCCAGCGCCGCAGTCCTCTTCTTGCCCACCAGGCAGGCCACGTGGTAGTTGGTCTTTTTACAGCCAGGGCTGCGACTCCTACAGTGACGCAATGACCAATGGTTTCCTGGGCTGGCCCCCACACGACTTCAGGAACTACTGCGAAAACGCGAGAGCAGATCGAAGCTAGCTAAGATCGAGATCATGGCGCCCTCCTCATCCCCGGCGCTTGTGCCCGCCCTGGGCATCTGGCCACCCATGGCCTCGCTGCGCGCGGTTATCGCGGTGTTCCGGATAGCTGCGGGACGCGGTATTGCGGCGGACCTCGTGCAGAAGTGCGCCATGGGCCCCTTGGCCCTTGCGGGCCCGCCAGAATTTTGCGCGGGCTTCGTGAGTGATCTCGAGCTTCAGTGCCCCGCGGCCAGGATGTACTAACTTGTTTTCAAACCTCAACGTTCGCGAACCTCCGAACCTGTATCCAGTTGGGCCTGGATGGCAAGGCCGCGCCCGACAAGGCCCATTTGCTCGCTTCGCCCGGCCCGCTGCGAGAGCAGCCCCAGAGAGAAAGTTACTGGACAGAGCAGGCGCCGACCCCGACATCTCTGGCCCCAACCTCGATTGCGAGACGGCAGCTCGCGCCCTCCGACACCGCTGGAGGAGGAAATCGATGGCGAAGACGAGTAGAGGATCATGAGGCTGGGCGCGACGAGGTGGGCAGGGGGAGTCGCCGGGGACATTTGCGACGCGGGGGCATTCGCGCCCGGCAAGCCACCGCCCTTCATCAGCAGTTAGAACTAGCCGGCTCTAAGCGCGCTGCGCGTAGCCGAACCCCTAGCTTAATCTCGGTTGGGGGCCCCGCCTGGAAGCTGGCGACGGGGCTTGCTTGCGTGGGGTTGAATTGTTTGGGCCGCGGCCACCAATCCAGATCTCGGGCTTATCCTTGCTTGAGCTGCGTAGTGCGCCAGGGTCCTTCGGGGCCATGCAGCTACCCTCGCGGAGAATAGGTGGGCCCCCAGTCGCGACTTTTCTTTGCCGGGCGAAGTCGGGCCATCGGTGCCTCCTGGCCGGTTTCTCGCCCGCCAGTGCGCAGGGGTTCATGGAAGCTGAATGGGCCGAATAGCTGAAGGAGAAAGCGGCGTCCAACCTCGGCCGCCTGAACTCGCTGCTGGACCCGGGGGTAGCGACCAAGATGCCGGCAGACGCTCGGTTCATCAAGCAAGAGCGAGGGAGCCTGCTCACTTGTCTTGCCCACGGCTGCTGGATCAATGCTCGTGCGTAAAGCTGTGGGCTGCTGCCTGGGCGGCGCTCGCGAATGCGGGGCCCCGTCGGGTTGCCTCTGGCACGCATTGCTTGACCGCTCGGCTCCCTGACCCGATCGACTTAACGCTTTCGCCCCGCGCGAGTTGGACCTGTTGCAGACCAACCATCGGGAACCGTGTTTTCGTTTGGGCGGCCAGCGTTCCCTTGAGTTTCGTGTCGGCGTTCCCCCTGGAACAGGACTGGGCCGCTGCCAGTTCTGGTGCGCTGGCCCTATAGTTTCCCTGGCAGAAGCCTTCGCTGGGCCTGTCCACGTAGGCGGCAGCTGTGATAATTCGATCCACCTCTGTGCGGAGCGTGGGCCATTTCGTCATTCCCCCGGGTCAAGTCGGAGACGCATGTGAGCAAAACTCGGGAGTTGTGATATGCTGGCCGCCCTAGGCCATAGCTCCCTGCGGAGTTTCGCCGCAAGTGACCGCAGTGTATGCCGACTGCATCGGCGCCCCACAGCTGTTCGACCCCCCAGGCTACCCAAGGATAAATGTGCATGCTGGTTCTGATCCTCTCGGGC